CTATAGTTTTTCTTTTTCGATTAGTATAATCATAGACAACTGCGACTAATACAACGAGTGCTATAACAACAATTGCAACAGTAGCGACTACTACCACGAGTACTATAACAACAATTGCAACAATAACGACTACTACCACGAATACTATAACAACAATTACAACAGTAGCGACTGCTACCACGAGTACTATAGCAACAATTACAACAATAGCGAGTACTACCACGAATATTATAACAACAATTACAACAATAGCGACTACTACGACGAGTATTATAACAACATTTACGACAACGGTGAGTACTGTAACTACAACAGTTCAAATATGTACATCATCATGTGTTAATACAACGATTGTTAGTACATCACTTGTTGCGTTTTATACGTTTGACTCTGTATTAACCGATTCAAGTGGTAATGGCAATACAGTTAATGGAACATACAGTTCATTTGTTACAGGTTATGTAAATAATGCAGTTAGCTTTGTTTATGCTAATTCAGAACGTTTAACATCAAGTGCAGTCATTAATTTATTCAATCAATCATTTACTATAGACTTTTGGTTCTATTGGACAGAAAATTCGCTTTCAGATTATTGTTTGTTCGGTCAATGTATATCATCACATACAGACTTATGTCTGTTTCTAAGTATACGTAAAAAGGCTTTATTTTTTGGATTTTTTAATGATGATACACCTGGTAATGCTACAATTGTAGTAAATAAATGGTATCATGCAGCATTTGTCTATGATTATACTAATCGAATAAGATATATTTATTTAAATGGGTAAGTGAATGAGTGAGTGAGCGTTCGGGATACCGAGAAGTTATTATCCTATATGAATGAGTCCAGAAAAGAGCAGAGTGAATGCGTCTGTTGAGAATTCCTTTCATACCTATAGTTTTTCTTTTTCTTTTACTTTAGAGACCACATATATAAGTTAGGTGCTATTTTAGAAGGCTACATCACTTGCATTTACTATTGGCGCGTGGTTGAGCTGCTAGAAAAAGTTTCACTTGCTTAAGAAACCATGATCTGTAGAGATAATACTTCTCTAAAACTAACTGGAATTTCGATTTGCAATCATTTGTAACATCGATAACATATAAATCACGCATCATCCGTAAGCCCATTACTGTTCATACAAACACCTCTACATACTGGACACTACTGCCATCCAACTTCTGAGCCCAAAAGTTCACTTCATTATTCAGTACATTAGTTTCTTTTGAGATATGTTGCTTTAATCGAACTTCAAGAACGTTTGTAGTAATTATGACACTTCAGGTTCATTTTCTTGTGCTTTTTTGCGTCTGAATATAGTGTTCAAGATGCTATTGATACAACTACAAGTTATTTACTAATTACTCAGCAGCCAGTTAATATTGGTAGTTCACCAATTGGTGGTAATGTAAATACATCGGTTTATTACACTGGCTATATTGACCATTTAATGATAACACAACGTGCAAAAACAGCATGTGAAATATTACAAGATGCAACAATAACAGTTTATTATTCATTTGAAAATTCAGTAATTGATTCTGGTCCAAATAAGATTACTGGTACAATATCAGGTACAGGAACATCCTTTGTCACAGGTGGACGTGTTGGTACATATGCGTTAGAATTAAGTACTGCAGGTAGTTATTTTCAAACACAAAGTTTAACATCACTTGGTATAACAAATCAGCCATTTACAATTGCATTGTGGGTACGACCAACAGCACTAAGTGGAGTACTGATACACATATCCTCACAATCAAATGGTATGTTATAAGCCTTTGATTTATGTTTAATATCCTAACAGAGTTGTTTATTAACACAGACGACTGCACACTTCAGGTTCATTTTCTTGTGCTTTTTTGCGTCTGAATATAGTGTTCAAGA